ATATCAGGGCCTGGACCCTGATTTGATACCAGAGTCCCTCATGGGTGGGCTTTGTTTAATGTTTTGAGACAGGGATTTGAACTTGTGACCTCCTCCCTCTCCTCAGAACTGGGGTTACAGCACCACCACTCTAGTTTGGGTAGAGTCATAGCCTTGCCATCTCCTTGCTGAGTAACCTTAGGCAAGTGACTTCCCCGTGAGGCAATTTGCTTATCCGTTGCACGTGGTTGCTATCAATACCGTGTCATGAAGTTGTGAAATTTAATTAGTTATCATATGGAAGCACTTAGAAAACTGCTTGGTTCTCAAAAAAAAAAAAAAAAATGTTAGCCACCGCTGTTATTGACACAGTACTCTATTGGGTTTTTGTTGTTTTAGATAGGCTGGCTTTGAACTCATTTGGTGCAGGCTCTGCCTCTGCCTCCTGAATGCTGGGAATAAAGACCAGTACCACCATGACCCACATGTATAGAACAGTGCTTAAGTCTTCTACAGTTTACAGCCCAAACTTGAACTTCTAGTGGAACATGACTACCCTTCTGACACTGGAACTCCAGGTGAAGTTTGGACAGTTAGGTTTCCTGTGGCTTCTCCTGCTGTCGCTGTGGCCTGAGGGGTTTGCAAAATCCCTGTGAACATTAGCCAAACAGCATGGAAGTCCAGAGCAGAAGATGGGCATCTTCTTGGTAGGAGGAGCTTCTGTGAGTATGCCTTTCCCCGCCTCACGACGCGGCTACAAGCCATGGGTCCTTAAAGTCCCCCCCTACACACACACCACTGCCAGTCTCCACCCTCCTCACATTTGCTTTGGCTCTTGGTCTGTTAGATCTTAAGTGAAAGATCAGTTCTTGGCGGAAGTTCTTTCCCGACCTCACAACTGGATTAGTATTCTGCTGTCTTAGTCTCGTACCCTTTCCTTGCTGTAGACTTTCCCCACTGAGGCGATGCTGCTGACGGGGAATGACGTCATGACTAAGAGATACTCTTCATTTATAGGGTAAGACAGAGTGGTGTTGGGTGTTCACTGGGAAGAACTGCCCTAAGCCATCCTGTATGTTTGTGAATGTTCTACTAGAACGTCTCAGAGAGGTGAAACAAAAATGTGTTTATAGTTTTCAGAGACAATAGCCTTACTCTTATTTACATATACACATGGAACTCTTGGCAAGGTTATTATGTGTACACATAGACACATATTTTTCTAGGAGTAAAACTCAGTGTTGCAGTAGACACACACGTTCCAGTACACACACACACACACACACTTTTCTAGGAGTAAAACTGCAGTGTTCTATCCACTAGGGTGATGATGCCATGTTTCCTTTGGAACGCTACCACTACCACACCTTATTTACATTTGGGGAAGTCCTGTCACTGATGGCCACATGTATCACTTCATGGTGACGCAACATGTAGGTGGGAACTTGTGACTGTTTGGCAAACAGTTGTCTGCATTTTATTGAAATGGAGGAAGAGCTTTGAAGCGATGAGGGAAACATTTCTCTTTCCCAGCAGAATGTATTTGCCTGTTTCCCTTAGCACTCCTTAGTGGACAGTTTGTCCATCTCTCTCATTGAGAACTGTATTTTACTTACCTTTGAATCTCCAGTGCTCACCATGCATGAGATAATTGCTCAACTTCATATTTATTCAGTTGAATGAGTAGCAACACAGTAGTATTTAACAAATATTTGTTCACTCAACTTGATGCACCACATGGGTGCTTGGTGCCTGCAGAGGCCAGAAGAGGGCATTGGAGCCCGTGGGACTGGAGTTACAGATGGTTTTGAACTGCCATGTGGGTGCTGGGATTCCATTCTTGTTCCTCTAGAAGAGCAGCCAGTGCTCTTAACCAGCCCTATTGGTTAACTTTTCCCCCCTTTTTTTGGGATTTTTTTGAGACAGAGTCTCACTATGTAGCTTGTCTTAGAACTCACTCTATAGACCAGGCTGGCCTTGAACTCACAGAGATCCGTCTGCTCTGCCTCCTGAATGCTGGGATTAAGACGTGCTATGCCCGGCTGTCTGTCTGTCTGTCTGTCTGTCTGTCTGTCTGTCTCTGTCTCTCTCTCTCTCTCTTTCTTTCTTTCTCTCTTTCTTTCTGTGTGTTAGGGTTTTGCCTTCATGTGTCAGTGCACCACTGCATATGAGTGTTGCCTGTGGAGGCCAGAAGACATCAGATTTCTCCAGAACTGGAGGGACAGGCAGTTGTGAGCTGCCATGTGGGTGCTGGGAATGGCGCCTGGATATTTTGGAAGAGTAGCTGGTGCTCTTAACCACTGAGCCATCTCTCCAGCCCCTTGGTTAACTCTGATAACTACTTTTTTTTCAAGTTGTTGATAGTCTGTGCTGAGCATCATCTATCTATAATCTAATTGAAGTTGGTATATTCCCGTTCAGTAGTTGGGAAACTAAGGCTCCCAGGAATGATTGACTTGCCTAGGTTTCCACAGCATCTTAGTCCTCATCTCTCAAATAACTGATTTGTTTATTCATGCTTTTTGAGACAGAGTCTCACTCGGAAGCCTTGACTGGCCTGGAACTCATGCAAAGCAGGCTAACCTTCAGACTGCGTGACTCGAGGTGGCTCTCCAAGAGCTGCCTTTTGGGTTTTTATTTACCATTGGATGTTACTTTTTTTGACACATTTAGGTGTGAGTCTTCAACTATGAAAAAAGTAAGTCATCCAGTAATTATTTAAATGTTAGAAGAAAATCTTTATTACTTTTGATATTCTATTGAATTAACATAAATGTTCTTTAAATAAGTGGTTTCTACCTCATGTAAAGCTGGTATGCTTGGTTATCTTGTTATATAGTTGACTCTGAAATGGCTCTGCCTACTCTGAGATATGACTTTGATTTGATCGCTGGTAAACTGAGGTAAGCTCTAGAGATGGCAGTGGCAGCTGGGGCACAGTAATGAGAATGAACTTGACGCTGCGACTGCACACTAAGAATGGCTGAAGTGGAAAATTTTACCTGTTTATAATTGCAGTGGTATGCTTTATGATGTTTTGGCAGGTTCTAGTTAGGTAGCCTAGGCTGGCTTTGAACTCTTGATCCTTTTGACTAACCCTCCTGAGTGCTGAGATTATAGGCACAGGCCACCATGCTTTGCTTTGCCACACTTATTAAAAAGTGTTATAAATCAAATATTTTTGAGAGCCTTTTGTTATAGATAACTTTGATATGGTATTGGAGGTCACTTATCAGCGTTGTCTGGTAAAATTAGATATTAATTAGATTTTTTGGGGGAGGGGATGTTTCCCTGTTTATTGCTGACTGTCTTTGCTCTCACTCTGCAGACCAGGCTGGCCTCTAACTCAGAAGATCTGCCTGCCACTGCCTCCTTAGTGCTGAGATTAAAGTCATGTGCCACCAAACCCAGCTCAAATTAGGGTTTCTCTGTGTAGTTTTGGTGCCTTTCCTGGCTCCTGCTCTGTAGACCAGGCCGGCCTTGAACTCACAGAGATCCGCCTGGCTCTGCCTCCCGAGTGCTGGGATTAAAGGCATGCACGACCACCTCCCTGCTAGATATTCTTAATACTAAACTGTTTGGAAAAAAAATAAAGAGCCATGCATAATGGAGCACATCTTTGAGCCCATCACTCAGGCAGAGAGAGGCAGGCAATCTTTGAGCCAGCCTGGTCTACACAGTGAGTTCTAGGACAGCCAGGCCTACTACATAGTGAGACCCTGACTCTAAATAAATAAATATCCTGTTTATTTGAATGAAGTGTGGTAATATTCTGATAATGTAGTACATCTTTTGGGAACCACCTTTAGAATGGGTGTGATGACTGCTTTTCTGACTGGGCGACTATTAGCCCCTGGATTTAGTTTTTCATTGAAGAGGCCCTGAGGGAATAAGTGGGCTATTTCAGCAGGCGCTAACTACATGCACTGGCCTGGAGTGATGATTGGTGCTATATTATATATGAAAGGTTGTAGAGTTAGTACCAGCATAGCATGGAGTATTATCTAACAAAGAAGGACTATATGCCTTAGTTGTTTTTTTTTCTCGTTGTTGTGATACATTTTCTGATAGAAGCAATATAAAGAAGCAAAGTTGATTTGGTGGAGATAGTCTATTATGGCAGAAAGCCATCCATCATGGTGGGCAAGCATGGCGTCCTGTTGCTCCATAGACTAGGAATGTTCAAAGGAACAGGGAGCAGAGACCAAACAGGAGTCTAAAGGTGGGCGTAAAACCTCTCTATGCCCACCCCCCCAGTGACCCATTTCCTCCAGAGAAGTGATGCCTCCTAAAGACTTCCAGCACATTCCTCAATAGTATACCATCTGAAATGAAGGGTTCAGACACGTGAGCCTGGGGCCATGTCGTATTTCAGCCATAACACTGTATGTAACCAAGACTAGAGAACAGTGGAAAAATAGATCAAATTTAGTATCATTGTCTCAGAGGTAAGCTTGGTGGTGGGAAGAATCAGCTTTACTTGTGTGACCATGTTATTTTAGTATAATGTAGTTCTTGCAATTTAATAAAAGCTTTTGAAGTTAGAAAAAAAGCATAGTTTATGATAGAAATTATACTAGGGCTTATTGTGCTAACCAGCCTCAGAGACCTCCATCTTGACTGGGTGTGGATGGAGTAGTTGTGTTCACTTGTAGAAGTCCATCTGGTTATATGCTTACAATTTGTACAGTTTTGTGACTTTCAATTAAAAGTTTAAAAAATTTACAGCACAGCAATATAATGGAACACTATGTGTTTTAAAATATTTTCTTAAATTAAGTAATATTTAAAGCCAGGGAAGAAATGAGAATTCCCACTATTACATAATGTAAAAAAAAAATACAATGTACGTAATGTAAAACATTACAGTATCAACAGATACTAGGAAAACTGGAATACAAACCTTACTACATCAGTATTTGTTATGTCCGGATGAGAGTTGTGGGTTGTGGGTTTGGTGTAGTTGTTTTTGTTGTTGCTGTTCCTTTGGAAGAACAATTGATTTTGTTTGCCCTGTTTAGGAAGCCAATGGAAGATGTTGAGCAATGTCATGTTACAGATAAGAAGCACAAAACAGTGAAGGAGAGAAGGGGAAAACATTTTTTAAAAATGAAGGAGAGGACAAGGTCAGTTAGAGGATTATAGTACTATCGGGGAAAAATTAACCTGCTAGGACGTGGCTTTACTAACTCAAGTTGTTAAACCATTAATCTAGTAGTAGAGTCGATGAGAATCCTCTCCTTCACCAAGCCTTTCATAGGTTTGCTTATTAAAATTAATTAAGTTAATGCTTTAGTTTTATTGGTTTTGTTCGAGAATTTAATTGTAATGAAACTGTGCCATTGATAACAGTCGCCTCAGTTTGCTCTAGCAGATGCAGCTCACACTTGAATTCCCGGTCTCCACCGATTAACCTTTGCAGTGATGTGCTCAGCTTTAGTGAGGGCAGATAATACACCTCACTAGGTTTTAGAATCAAGTGGAGGGTGACCGGTGAGACTACTTGACCAGAATTAAACACTACCCCATTGTAAACTACATGATTTTTCTTGTTTTTCCTTCTTCCCACAGCCCTTTGTGGAAGGCAGTTATTTGGTGATGGAATTTATTTCACTTACTGAGTTCCTAAGTTGAGGTTTATGAAAGGATGCATGTTTTCCATCGACGTTCTTCAAAGGTTGCATTTAATGTTTTTGAGGTGTGGTTATGATTGCAAAGCGCCCTTAATATTTTATTTGAACGACTAATATAGTTTTTATATTAAGTTGAAGTTCAAGTGCTTTTCTTTTCACTGTTGAGCTGTCAGGGGAGTTACCGGCGTCTCCCCCAGTCCAGTCGCTGTCGTTATTCCACCACGCTTATTTAAAATAACGAGCCGAATCCGATTTCTACAGGGGCTGCTTTCGCAAGGCTTGCTTTGGAGTAGCCTTCAGTGTACCTAGCCTGGCTGAATGAGTTGGGCTGGACTGAGAGCGCTCCGTGGCACTAGGACCCAGGGGGCTCCCGTGAGCGGATCTTGGGGCCAGATTGCAAATTCGCGGTGACTCAGTCTGGTCGGCTCCTGGCGCTCGAGGCGGCCGCGGCGGCACAGGCACAGCGGACGTTGGCGCGGAGCTGCGGAGCGGTCCGGCCGGGCTTCGGGTCCGAGCCTCGGTTGGGG